GCTGCTCTATCACAGTCCTCACATGCTTGCCCTTCACACCTCGCCTGCCCTTCCAGCCCCAGGGCCGTGTCTGCAGCTCTGTGGTACCGTCAGTCAGACATAATGAGACATAATGGCAGGTCAAAAATTGTTGGATCACTCAAAAGCTGGGAGGGATCCGGAATGGAGTTATTAGATTGGGGGCATTTTAATCATATCCTGCAGCTTGGCAGCTTCCAAAAGAATTGACACACACAGTTATAGCTACGCAAAAGAGTCAGGCAGGGACTGCTCGGAGAAACGTTGCTGTTTCGGCAGAGCTTCTAAATTTGGGGTGTCCTACAAGGTTTTCAGATGTGAGGGTCAACCGAATGTCTGAAAGCTGCATGGTCTTCAAGGGGGTCTCTTTCTGGGACAACTCTAATCTGTTTCTTTGGTTCAGTAAGATTTTCCTGAACCCACTGGGCTGCCGTGGCCTGCTTTATCAAACCAACTGGTTTGCTCCCAATTGAGCACGAAAAACGGGGTGAGGGGAGGCTGATTGTTACCCACACATGGCCAGGTCTTAGGAGATGATTCATTTTTATGTTGTCTGGCTCCTGTACATGCCTATTACCTCTTGTCCACCCAAATGTGCTAAGAACACAGCTGGAACAACCGAGCAAGATCCGCACACACCTCTTCCCAAGGTCAGTCAGCAAATGGCCATCCTGCCTGTCTAGGCTGATCCCTAGAGCAAACCTATGAAGGCTCTGGAATGATCTAGAGATGCAACAGCACACAGAAGTCGAATATTCAGACAAAGATTGCTTTGGAAATACTCATGTTCGGGCCTGTGGTCTGTCCACCACCTAACTAAGCCCCGACTGCCCTTGAACTGGCTGAACTTGAGAGACTGACAGCACATGACTTCGTGGCCCAGGTGGTTCTCAGCAGCATCTAAGGAGATCTTGAAACCATCAAACCTAGAAAACCACTCGGGTGATTTTGTTTCGATAGGTCTGGCCTCAAACCAGGGCATCGATGTTTTTTTAAAAGCTCTGTAAGTAACTTGAAGTGTTCAGAGCAGTGGAAACTGGATCTTTCACCTGATGTGAAAGATGTGGGGAAGGGGCATCCTAGAACTTCAGAGAAGGCAGCTGTCACGCCTGCCTCACGGTCCCTCTTACAGAGGGACTTTCTCCCCTCGCCAGCTTCCTCAACTTCCCTTTCTTTCCTGGATGGTCTGCACAGCCAGGTCAGCAAGCTGCAAGGCCACTCGACTTGTTGTCAGGTGGCCTCCAGTCACTTCTGACTCACAGCCACGGCGTACTGACAACACACAACAGGAAACGCATCTCAGTCCTGTACCAGCCTCACCTTGTTCTTAGGTTAGAGCCCATTGTTGCAGCTACTCTGCCGATCCATTTTGCTGAGGGCTCTTCTACTGCTCTACTGTCCCAAGCATGAGGTCCTTTTTCAGGGATTGGTCTCTCCTGGGAACATGTCCAAAGTATGTGAGACACAGGCTTGTCGTTCTTGCCTCTAAGGAGCACTCTGGCTGTACGTCTTCCAAGACGTACAAGCATTTCTTCTGGCAGTCCATGGAACTTCCAGCATTCTTCACTGATCCCATAGTTCAAAGGCATAGAGTTTTTCTTCTGTCTTTCTTATTCGAAGCCCAACTTTCACATGCGAACGATGCAATTGAAAATATCATGGCGTGAGTCAAGCACACCTCAGTCCTCAAAGCAATCTTTGCGCATATTAAAGAGGTCGTGCACAGCAGATTTACCGAATGCACCTTTTAATCTCTTGCCTGCTACTTCCATGGGCATTGATTGTGGATCCTTGCAAGATGAAATCCTTGACAACTTCAACCTTGTCTCCATTTACCATGATGTTCCTATTGGTCCAGTTGTGAGGATTTTGGTTTTCTTTACATTGAGTTGTCATCCACATCAAAGGCTGCAATCCTTGATCTTCATCATCGGGCGCTTTAAGTTCTTCCTTTTAACAAGCAAGGTTGTGTCATCTGCCTACCACCAGCTGTTAATAAGCCGTCTTCCAATCCTGATGCAACATTCTTCATGTAATCCAGTTTCTCTGGTTGTTTGCTCAGCATACACACTGAATAGGTGAGGTGAGGGGATACAACCCTGATGCAGACCTATCTTGATTTTAAACTAGGCCGTATTCCCTTGTTCTGGCCACACACCTCTTGATCCGTGTACAAGTTCCTTGTGAACACAATGAAGGGTACTGGAATTCCCATTCTTCTGACGGCTAACCACAGTGTTATGATCCATAGAAGTGAATGCCTTTTCATAGTCAACAAAATCCAAGTAAACATCTTTCTGGGATTCTCTGCTTTCAGCCAAGATTGATAGGCCATCAGTAATGCTATCCCTTGTCCCATAGCCTCTTCTGAATCCAGCCTGAAGCTCTGATAGCTCCCTGTCCGTATACTGCTGGAATCGTGGTTGGATGATCTCCAGCAAAATTTTACTTGACTGTGATATCAATGATATTGTTTTATAATTTGAGAATTCTGATGGGTCATCTTTCTTTGGAATGGGTACAAATATGGAGCTCTTCCAGTCAGCTGGCCAAGGAGCTGTCTTCCACATTTCCTGGCACAGATGAGTAACTGGTCCCAGTGCTTCTGTTAGAACCCTCCAGCGGGCAGTCCATGAATTTTTGGAACCTTGTTTTGACTACTGCTTTCAGGGAAGCTTGAACTTCCCCCTTCAGTACCATTGGTCCGTGCCCAGAGGCGACCTCTTGAAACCGTTGAATGTAGACTAGTTCTTTTCGGTACAGCGACTCTGTGTATTCGTTCCCCTCCTTTTGCTGCATCATTCAATCTTTTGCCCATAGACTCTTTCAATTTCCCACCCTGAGGCTTGAATGGTTTCTTTTGTTCTTTCAGCTGCAGATATGCTGCTTTCTTCCTTGTTGGTGTTTTACTTCTGGGTCTTTGCACGCTTCATTGTAATATTTTACTTTGTCTTTCCCGCTGCCCTTAGAAATGTTCTGTTTAGCTCTTTGACTTCATCCTTTCTTCCATCTTCCTAAGCTACTCTACAAGGAAGACTGGGTCTCTGAGCCTCTTCTGACAGCCACTTTTGTTTTTTCTTTCTTTCTTGCCACTCACCTTTTGCTTTTTTCATGTATGATATTCTTCATGTCGGCCCATGGCAGTAGTGTTTAATGCATCTATTCTAGAAATTCAGGTGGGACATACACTTGAGGTTATATTTTGGCTCAAGGTTGTGTTTGGGCTGTCATGGACTTGATTTCATTTTCTTCAACTTCACTCTCACATATGAGCAATTGATGGTCTGTTCTACAACCGACACTGGCCTGGTTTTAGCTGCTGTTATTGAGCTTCTTCTTCATCTCGTTCCACAGATGTGGTCAGTTTGATTTCTTTGTATTCCATCTGGAGAAGTCCATGTGTGTAGTTGCTTTTTGTGTTGTTGAAAAGGGTATTTGCTATGAACAAGACATCGGTCTTGCAAAATTCTATCATGTGATCTCCAGCTTCATTTCTTTCATCACGACCATATTTCTTAACTACTGTTCCTTCCTGTGTTTCCAAATTTTGCATTCCAATTGCCAATAATTATCACTGCATCTTGAGTGCATGTTTGATCAATTTCCAGCTGGAGATATTGGAAGGATTCTACAATTTCTTCATCACTAGCTTTAGTGGTTGGTGCATGGATTTGAATAATAGCTATATTGACTAGATTTCCTTGTATAGGGTTAGACATTATTCTAGTAAAGACAACATTGTACTTCAGGATAGATCTGGGAATGTCTTTTTTGACCATGAATGCCATGTCGTTCCTCTTGATTGAGTGATTCCCAGCATAGGAAATCATATGGTTTTCTGACTCAAATGACCAAGACCAGTCCATGTCAGCTCACTAATGCCTAAAGAAGCAATCTTTATGCATTTATTTAACTTTTAATGACTTCCAGTTTTCATAGATTTGTACTTTGTACATTCCATGTTCTAATTATTAATTGATGATTTTGAGTCACGCCCCAGCAGCAAATGAAGGTTCTCTGGGTTTTATTCCGCAGGCTCTACTCCAGCCATGACTTTATGGTTGACTCTAATTTGAGAAGGTAGCTTTTCCTCAGCCACATTTTGAGTGCTTTCAGACCCGAGAGTCTCAATCTTCTGGCACTACCTCTAATAATATTCTATTTAGGAGGTTTTCAGTAACTGACAATGTTTCGATGCTGCCCATAAGGTTTTCAGCAGCTAATCCCTCAGAACTAGACAGCCCGTTGCTTCTTGATAGTCTGCCCTTAGTCTGGAAGCTCGGCTGAGACTTGTTCACTTGGGTGACCCTACTGGTATTTGAAATACCAGTGACACAGTAGCTTTCACCATCACAGCACCACAAGCCACCACAGTATGAAAAACTGACAGATAAAGCTCTCATCTTAGATTTCAAAAATCCTCTGTAGACCAACCACCTGTTGTTCCAGGGACCGCCCACCTCTCTTTCCTGTTTCTCCATATACAACAACTTCCTGAAAACGTGCTTTACAGAAGTGTGTCAACCTATTCTTTCTTCCGCCCACGCCAACCCAACACCTGCCCTCGGTACACCACACAGACACTGGCTGTAACCTGACATCGAGGCGAGCCAGTGCACCAGGTCTCTCCTCCATCACCCAAGTGGCGAGGCAGGAGATGCCCAGTCCAGGTATTGATCACATATTCCAGGGAAACAGCAGCCCCGGACCGAGCCCTTCAATGGCCCAGGAGAGCCAGGAGTAAAGCTTCACGGACAGAACACCAAGGTGGGAAACGTTCCAGGAACCACGGTCTCCAACATACAGTCTAAAGGACACTTGTGAGGATGGTGCAGGATCAGGCAGTGTTTCGTTTGGCCATACACTGGGTTGCTGTGAATCAGGACTGACTCGGTGGCACCTGACCACAACTCTGGAGCAGACAGGTGTTTATGACGGTGATGGTAACGAGGTAAGGGGTTGAGGGAAAGGTTAGGACTTACACAGTGTGTGGTGGTGATGATGACAGAACTGGAGATGAAAGAGAGGCCATCGTTCATGCTGACCTGGAGTGCGGCTTTCCTGCAATGACAGTGAGGGAATCAGAGATATGAGCAGAGTGGGCAATGAGAAGTGAGCAGATAGTGGGGGATGAAGGCCCCCTTTGGGCACTACTCTCAACTAATAGCGCCTCTCCCTTGGGGCCTGTTCCCCCATTTGTAAAATGTGTGGAGAGGCAGCCCTGATGGCCATCTACCTCCAACATTCTAAAGATTGCAGGATGCACCTAGCAGTTGTGTCAAAGGAAGGCTTGCCTGCACGGCATCAAATCTCCCTGGATGGGTGCAATTTGCTCCATTGAACTTACTGGTCGCAGGATAACAAGGCCAAAAGCAAACTCCAAACTCACTGTCGCCAAGTCATTGCTGGCTCCTAGCACCCCTGCTGGACAGTCGGGCTGCCTCTTTTGGTTTCTTAGACTGAGACAGCCTCATCTTTCTCCCTCGGAGCAGCTGGTGGGTTTGAACCACTGACTTTGCAGTCAGCAGCTCAACACGAAGCCCACTTTACCACCAGAGCTCCGATAGTAGGACCAAGTCATCTTTTATGTAGTAACGTATTGACTTTTCTTACTGTGGCCGGTATACAGGTTTTAACAATTTTCTATTTCCACAATCTTTTGTGGAAGTGGTATTTTAAAAGGACCAATTAGTAACCTTCATGACGACCATCCTGCTGTGGAACCATTCCCGTGAACCATTCCCCACATTTGCCATCACCTTCAACAGGAGCCCAGAGGTTCTGCATATGGAAGGGCTGGCTTTCGGGCCCCCTCCTTCCAGCCACCCTGGTAACCACCAATAGATGTTGATCTTCTTATACTTGTCTGTTCTAGAGATTTCATGTTGAGTGGGAGCACTCAATACTAGGAGAGGCTATTCTTCAAAAACAACCCAAATGAGATGTCAACAAAACTGGTGAAAATGCAAACAAAACCCAGTTCAGTTCAGTGGGGTCAGCGCTGTGCTGCTGGAGTTCTCTGGCCTCTCAGCGGTCTGATGGGAGTGGCTTCGGTCTCACCCAGCAATCTCAGAGAGGAGCTCATTGGTCCCTACTGCTCTCTCTCTCCAGGAGACCCACTGCACCGTGAGCTTGCACTTTGCGTTTTGCAGCACGGACTCTGTGCCCTTTGGGGACCAGCTGTTCTATCACAGGCTGATGTTAGGCTGGCAGGGCTGGAGGCTTGGCAATTTCAATAAATGATAGAAAGCAGAATTTGGATGAACAAATGTCTCTTTTTAAACATTTGTTTATTTGAATTGAATAAATCATTTTATTGGGGGCTCATACAACTCTTATCATAATCCACCCACCCATTGTGTCAAGCATATTTGTACATTTGTTGCCATTATCATTTTCAAAACATTTTCTTTCTACTTGAGCCCTTTGTTTCAGCACTTCATTTTTTTTCCTCTTTCTCCCCCACATTCCCTCCCTCATGAACCTTTGATAATTTAGGGTCATGGGGAGATGACGAGCCAGTCAGGGTGCAACATAGCACTGATGAAACATACAACTTTCCTCTAGTTCTTTAATGCTTCCTCCTCCACATGCCACTATCATGACCCCAATTCTACCTTACAAATCTGGCTAAACCGGAGCATGTACACTGGTAAGAGCTGTGTACACTGGTAAGATAAGAGCTGGAAACACAAAATCCAGGACAGATAAACCCCTCAGGACCAATACTGAGAGTAGCCATACCAGGAGGTGAAGGGGAAGAAATGGGAGAAAGGAGGCACCGATCACAATGAGCTACAAATGTCTCTTCTTTCAGGCAGCCATTCAGCCTGCTGTCTGCCTGTGGTAGACACGTTTACAGAAGGGCTGGCTTTTGGTTTTGGCACCAATGTTGCCTTTCTGGTTTTCCTTGGTTGTCTCAGGGGGCCAATTCTCCTTCTTCTATTGAGTCTTGATCACACCTCAGTGGGATTTGCACCATCCTGAGAGTTTCCCTGACACATTCGTTGAGAAGGACCTGGCTTGAATGGGTGAATAGCCAATGGGCTGTGCAGACACAGAGGAAAGGCTCTAAACTGGGCATCACATAGTCTGGTTCTTGGGTTGCCACGAACCCACTTAGTCTTTCTGGGCTCCAGTTTTCTCATCTCTAAGAGGGGCTCATGATGTCCTTTCAGGGGAATTACAATGTGAGTTGCTGAGAGTTGACTCCAGTGCATAGCAGCCCCACAAGAAAGAGGGGAACTGCCCTCTAGGGTTTTCCTGGCTATAATCCTTATAGGAGGTCGCCGAGCTTTCTCCTGTGAAGCTTCTGCGTTAAGTTCAAAACTGCTAACCTTTTGCTTGGCAGCCAAGTGCTTAACTGTTGTGCTACCAGCATAATAAGCAACCCACCCACCCACCCACCACCATTGAGTTGATTCTGTTGCATAGAGACCATCATTCTTTACCAGAGCTTGGTCTTCCTTCTGTGGAGCAAATGGTGGATTTGAACTGCCGGGTTTACTGTTACCAGCCCAGCACCTAACCCACAATGCTACTCGGGCTCCTTTACCAGGGTGACCAGGGGAGGGGAGGTGTTGCGAGTGCCCAGGGAAGTATGAGAGCTTTCTGCACCTGCAGGAGTGACCGAGCCAGGCAGACCATGGTTTGAGCCGCTGTGTGGCTTCGGGTGAGCTATTGAAAGGCTCTCAGGCATGTCTTCTCCTGGTGCATCTACCCTGGAAACACCTAGGAGTGTAGCGTCCTGACCACAGGGTCCCATCTCTAAAACTAGGATAACGTGAGTATCTGGGCCCTTGGGAAGTTGGGGGCAGGACGTGCGACCCTCTCTGCGAAACACTTATCCTTGTGCTAGACTCCCCGTGACCGTCATTACCCAGAGGGCTCTGGGTAATGCTTGCTAAGGAGGTGAACTTCCAATGCCATGATCACGTTTTCTTTTCCCTTGGTCTCCTATACCTCTTCTTTTTGCCCTGGCTGTGAGGTTCAAGGTTCAGTGGCTGGGGGAGAACTTACATGCCAACTTCTTTTAAGACAGGCGCCGGACACAGCAAATAAGTGTTTTCCACTGTGAAGGGCTTCTCATCTGTGAAAAGGGGGTCATTGGATTAAAAGGAGCGAGGCCACTTTACAATGTCATGTTCAGCAAGCCCTAGAGGCCCCAAGTCCAAAGAGACACCAGAAAAGCAAAGAACTTTTGTCATTTAAAGGTTTGTTTGTTTGTTTTTTGATAACTGAACTATTAATTGTTTGACAGGTGGATGAAGTGCCGATAAAACCATTCAAAAACAAACAAGCAAAATAAATGGATAGGTAACAGTACGCGTGCCAATTCAACAACCTCCACCAGCCAATTCAGTAATGCTGGATATGTTTATCTTGTCGTTCAACCACCATCAGCTTAACTGTCCCGATTTTTCTCTCATGCTGAACAGAAGCGCAGTGACCCTCAGCATCGTGGCTTGAGCTCTCTCCTGCCTGCTCTTGGCAACCACCCACACACTTTAGTCTCTAGACATTTGCCTAACCCGGAGACTTCATCCAAGAGGGATCACACGCTATCTGTCCTTTTGTGACGAACGAACGTATTCCATTCGGCGTCAGGATTTCAGCACTTGGCCATGTTGTGACAGTACCAGGCTTTCTTTCTAGGCTGAGTCCCAGCCAAGAACTTCTTGTCATTAAAACAACACACAAACAAACCAAACACTCCTGGGATCTAAGGTCCATTGGTCTTGAACTCAAGGTCTCCTGTCTCAACAGCAGCCCCAGATCATGGATACCCAGTTGGATGAATCGCTGTGTAAACCAGTAGCAAACTCTTTAAGGCAACAGACCAGGAATCACAAGGGAAAAACGAACATAGCAGATGGGTCCTCAGAGACCTTCTTGACTAAGCCCAGAAGCCATATCCATGTAAAAAGTTCATTGGCAAATATAAGAGGTGGCTAAGCCACAGTATGATTTAAAATGTTGATGGCAGGCAGGGAGTTAGTTCTCATAGGTGGGTGCTGTGGTCACGGCATGGGGAATCCAGAACTGGAGGGGTTCTTTGGTAGGGCTCTGGGGAAGAGGTGTTCCTGCTGGGAGGAAAGACAGGCAAAGACAGGGAGTCAGGAAGAAAAAAAACACCATCATCATGGTTTAGGGTGGGCTATCAGTAGGATCTGGGAAGATCAATATAGGAAGAAGTTAGATTTGAGTTCTTTTTGTTGGCTGGAAGGATCTGAAGATAGTTCTATAAGATGTGTGTTTTATAAGATAGTTCTGTAAGATGTGTGGGGACTTGGGTAGTTTTTGAAGAAAAACTGAAATGATACCATTGGAAGTGTTAGCAGACTTTGCTGTAAAAGATGGATTAGCGAGAAAGCAGGGACAAGGTAGGGAAGCTCTTGCTGGTACAGACATGAATAATGGGAAAGCCCAAAGCTGCTTTACTGACAGCCTCGCTAGGAGCGTCACCGTGTCCAAGGACAAGGCTGAAAAGGACTATCCTCAACAGGCAACAGCCATTTCGCCAAGATTCAGCAGTTAATGGGCACCGGCTCTACACAAAGGAGCTCTGGTGGTGTAGTGGGTTACACACGGGGGCTGCCGACAAGGTCAGTGGTTCAAACCCACCAGCTGCTCCACAGAAGCAAGATGAGGCTGTTTGCTCCTACAAAGATTTAAAATCTTAGGAACCCAAACAGACGGTCCTATTCTATCCCAGCAGGTTGCTATGAGTTGGCCTGGACTCACTGTGGCAAGATTGGAGTTCTTGGAGAAGCAGTGGGGAGGATTGTTGCTTTCATTTGAAGGGTAAGGGGTAGTCAGAGTCAAGTACCCTGTTCAGTGACCCACAGGAGATCCACACCCAAGCTGCGGACTACGGTACTGCCACCCTGCCCTGAGTCCCTCTCACAGTCACCCTGTGAATAACGGCAAGGCAGGAGTCATGAGGCTGGTGGACACGGAGGCTCATAGAAGCAAAGGTGGCCCTTGGTTTCCCAGCAAGTCAGGGGCCAAGGCAGGACTAGAAATTATTTCTTTGGGGTTTTTCCTCAACCAGAGACTCTCTATCCTGCAAACGCTTGTGTTAGACAGCTAGGGATGGGTGTGGCTACCAGAGCCTATTTATTTTCTCTTATCCTATAGCTCATGCCCTAGTCACAGCTGGGGGGACAGACCTCAGCCCATGGAGCCGGCCCACAGAGCCATAGGCCAGTCAGAGCCCAGCTGCAGACAGCCTCGTGACTTCTGGCTGCATTGTGTGGGAAAAGCAGGGTCAGGCCGAGAAGGGTGACCACGCTAGCATGCCACCACTGGCCCTGCAGGGGCGGCTGGTGGTCGCACGTTCCTGGGTGACACCCATGGTGCCATCCAGCACTCTCTCTCAAAATCTAGAGGGCTGGATGGACCTAGGCCGAGTAGATGCTTTCCCTGCCGTCCCCCCGCCCCACCCCGCCCCACTTCCAGTTTCCTTTCCTGCTGGTGAAACCCAAGATTTCTGGAGCCGAGCTGGGCAAGCGCACCCTGGAAGGCTGGGCGGGGAGACCAAGCCGAAGCTGGAGGGCAGCCCCATCGCCCCCTGGTCACAGGGTGGCATCAGTCTGCAAGGCCTGTGGGCCCTGCTGGGCAGAGCTGGCATTTTCTGCTCTGAGAGAGATTGTTTGGTTTGGAGCCTGTTTTCCCTTTACCACAAAAATGAGTGACTCCCCGCCTCCCCGCCCCCTCTTCTAAACAAAGGAGGGCTCTTTGGTTTCCATAACTCGGTTCATCTGACTCTTTCCTGGAACGGCCACTTGGGACGCAGGGCACAAAGTCCTCCTCATCTGCTCCTTGGCACGGCTGCGTTTGGCATGGAGGCCATGCCAGCCACTCTGGAGCCTCAGCCAGAGCCAGCGTGTGTCGTGACAACGATGGGGCTATAAACTCCTCCGAGGACGATGGATGCCCCGACTCCTCTGCCCGCCGGGCGGCCATTTCACCGCTCGTTAGCACGAGTGGGCAGGGGGAATGGAGACCAGGAGCTCGGACTTGTCACTTGGCTTCTGTTTAGAAGTCGGGGGGGAAAAAAAAGTAGGGAGGAACAGGAGTTTGAAACCAGAAGCGAAAGGGCATTTTTAGATGAGCCGTACATATGAATACCCTGGCCTGTAGCCAGATTGGAAGCTCCAGCGCATACCCACGAGACGGTTATGGCAAGGGCTTGCGTTGGCTCCGACGAACGGAAACCCCCATGGGGCACTGAACTGACCAACCGTGCTGCCCGGTCTTGCGCCATCCCCCTGGTGACCGACGTGCTGCAGTCCACCGTCGCCTTCCCAGAGAGGGGACCCATCCTGCGGCGCGCTATTGCTCAATGTTCCGTTGGGATTCACTGGGTTTTCAGTGGCTGACTTGGGCAGTAGATCACCCGGCCTTTCCTCCTAACCTGTCTTAATCCGGAGCTCCAGGGAGACTCATCCACCCTGGGTGACCCTGCTGGTATTGGAAACACCTGCGGCATAGCTTCCAGCATCGTAACTGCATGCAAGTCACCGCATGAGAACAGACTGAGAGATGGATGGGGAAGTTGCAGACATAGTTAACCTGGAGCACTGGTCCAGAGAGTCTGGCGGGCAGCTTCCTTTAAATCAGGGGGGTTTCCCACGAATAGCATTTACAACACAGAACTGAGATATGGGTGCGCCTGAAGCTGAGTCCAGAGGCTACAGGCAGGCCAGTGTAGACTTCAGCGTCAACCCGACCCAGATTCGAATCTCAGGGCTTCCTCTGACTGATGTGGGAACGGGCACCCGCTCTTCATTCGTCAGCGGCCATGACGACACTATCCCTGGATTGTGGTGAGGATTTAATAAGAGCGAATTAAAATACAAGCCATGCTAGCTGGCTCTTCATAAGGTCTCAGTACAAGTTGCCACATATCGGACAGGGGCTTGAAAATAGGTTATGTGAGGTTTAAACTTAGAAGAGATAAAGATGAAATGTTGAGACATGTCTACTTATTTAATTACACTGTTCTACCAGCTTCGGAGGCTTTAGGAACTTCCAGTGAACTGGAAAATTTTAGCGAATGGGTGCCAATAGCCAGGACCTTCCACGAGGGAGGGTAGGCACTGGCGGAAGGCATGAGTTCTGGGACAAGGGACCGGGGCCAAAGAGCCCTCTGATAACGTTTGAAGTCCATGGACAGCGCACATGGTTGAGTTCTCAGCTGCTAACAGAAGGGCTGAGGAGCCCTGGTGCTGCTGTTAGGTAAGCAAAGCCGGTGTCTCCAAGCCACAGATCGCTCTGCAGGAGAAAGCTGAGGTTGTCGGCTCCTGTCAAGAATTGCAAAGCCAAGCGCCACGCAGGCTCACTCTGAGTGGAAAGCCACTCAGTGGCAACAGGTTTGGGGTTTGTTTTATTAGCGGAAAGGCTGGCAGTCCGAGCCCACCGAGGGATGCTTTGGAAGAAAGTGGACTTCTGCAAAGCAGTGCTGTGCTGTCACACAGAGGGAGGGTTCCCATGGGGCCCAACTTGAGTTGGCAGCCGCTACCATATATACTCGAGTATATGCCGAGTTTTTCAGCACATTTTTCAACACAGTTTTTGTGTTAAAATTAGGTCCCTCGCCAGATATTCGGGTTGGCTTACACTCGAGTACATACGGTACTTTAAGGATTAAGCTAAAGAGTCTTCTGGGAAACCCTGGGTTCGCCATGAATTCACGTTTCCAGAACCATACATCTGAATGTGGGCCTTTCTGGGTTTCAATCATCAGTCGATGTAACTCCTTTCAGACATGATGAAGGAGGTTCCCAGAATTCTTCCCTGCCCTTGGTCACTCTCTAATGGATGTGGGGTAAAACCAAGATTAAAATTCAATAGCTCATTCAAACTCCAACAGAGAGAATCTTTTTATAAGGCTGATTAAATAACTCAAATACTTTCCAAGCCTTGGCAATCTTTTCTTGAGATAAATATTTATTTCTGGCCAAAGGGGAAAGAGAAGTATCTCTTCAACTTATCAGAGGGGGTGGGGAAAGGATGGGAAGCTTGCTAAAACCCTCCAAGAGCTGATGTCAGCCCTGAAGTGGCATTTGCATTCCCACGGCGACA